AAGCTTCAGAAGTCAAAAATACAGTCTCCCAGAATGTGACCCTGAGGTGGGCAAGAGAAAGCTTCTCTCTCTCTCTCTCTCTCTCTCTCTCTCTCTCTCTCTCTCTCACACACACACACACACACACACACACACACACACACAAATACAAGCATCCATGTGCCCAGTCACCTCCCACCAATATCCTACGTAAGTTCTCACATCACACAAACCATTCCACCTACGCCACACCGTGTGTATATCTAACTTGCAGCACTCACATACTCATCTGAACAGTCACACACAGACTCACAACTGCACTTGCACATCTACATACACTCCCATGCGCCTGTATACATACTCACAAACACAAATCTGTTGTTATGGTTTGGATCTTTAATGTCCCCTAAACAGTCCACATATTAGGCACTTCAGGAATGTTCAGAGGTAAGATAATTAGATTATGGAAGCTGTATCCTCATCAGTGGGTGAATCCATTTCCTAGATAATAATTCAAACTGGGTGGTAAATGCAGGCCGGTGAGATGTGGCTGAAGGAGAGAGGTCACTGTGGGCGTGGCTTTGGGCTGCGTCTTGTCCTTTGTACTCACACGTGCACTTATTGCTTTTTCTCTCTCTCTCTCTATCTCCCTCTCCATCCATCCATCCATGTTGCAGATATTTATCGAGCACTGACGCCAGGTATCATATGAGGCCATGGATCACACTGATGAACTTGAGAGAACTTCTGGTCTACCAAAAAAGACAGAAAGGCCAACAGCAAGTAGTGTGTGATAAGCTCTCTGATGGGGGAGAGCGGAGAGACAAGGAGGAGAATCAAGAAAAGGCATCTTGCTCAGACTGGGACAGCTGGGAGGACTTCCTACCCAAGCCACATCTGAAGGATGAACATGAAGTGGGCAGGCAAAGACAAGGGATGAGCAGACATTTCTGGTGAGAGACGAGCCCAGGCAGTAACCCGGAAGTATAAGATAAACTAGCGGGAGGGTAGCTTGTGAAGAGAGGAGAGGTAAGGGAATGGGGACCCTCTCCTAGATATATCTATGAGGCATCCTCCCTCATTCCCTGCGCCCACAGTGCTCTTTGCAGGGTTCAGAGGCCCACTGTCCTGTCAAGCTAACAGCCTCCAGGTGTTGTCGCAAGTGGTGAGCTAGAGGAAGATGGGCTGAAGACCCTCAACCACCCCAGCGCCCATGCCAACATGGCTGCCTCCAAGCCTGAACCCTCACCCTGGCCCTGAGGGGCCGCCGTCTGTTCCTAGTGCCTGCAATCTTCCTGCTCCCAGACCCAGGGGCCTTTTCTGCTCTTGTCCTGTCTTTTACTATGGCTCTGTCCAGGCCAGGCCTCCACAAGTGAGCCACAGAGGCCAGCCCAAGCCAGTGGGGCCAAAGGGATAAGACCTCCTTGAGGCATACGAGGAGTGGGTCTTAGAGAAGTAGGACAAGATCTAGGATCAGGGACAACAGAATTTAAGGTGGGCACCAGCCATCCCAATGGCTGCCATATCTGGCTGGCACTTTTAATTTCCAATAAAGATCAAGATAAACTGGGTATTTATAAATTGGTATAGACTTCCTGCTGGTGTGTGCGAGAAGAGAAAGCAATGTTTCAACTTCTGACAGTCCCTGCCAGGGGTCCTCAGTCCCTTCCCACCACAGGTGGCCCCAGTCCTGCTGTAGGACAGCCCTTTCAGGAATTGAAAGGACTATTCCTGGGCACAGTCCAAATATCTGAAACCCTCGTGACTTAGGGAAGGTTCAGACTCCCCACAAATAAAGCCACTTGTTCACAATGCACCGTCAAGGGCCATGATGACAAGAAGAGACTTAGTTTCAATCATGGTGTTCAAGCTGCAGCAGTCGGTGGGAGCAATGGGTAGAGGGGATACTGAGGTCAGTCCCTGAACTCTACAGCTGGGCGAGAGACAGCTGTAGAGAGCCCAGGCTCCTGCTCTAGACATGGCACCCATAAGTGTGTCTTTTACGCAACTCCTACTTACAGCTTCTCGGGACGTCCATCAGTATTGGAGGAAAGTTTGATTTCCCCAGATCTCCTTTCAAAGCTCCCCATCACCCATCTGGTCTTGAGCTTCCCGAAATAACTATGAATAATACTAACATATGCGGCTGGGGCTGGGGCTCCATGGTGGAGTGCTCACCTAGCACTTGTGGGGCACTGGGTTCAATCTTTGACACCACATAAAAAAATGAAATAGAGACACTGTGTCCATCTACAACTAAAAAATACATATTTTTTAAAAATAACAGGGCTGGGATTGTGGCTCAGTGGTAGAGCGCTCGCCTAGCGTGGGCAGGACCCAGGTTCGATTCTTAGCACCACATAAAAATAAAAGGCCTTGTGTTATGACCATCTACACCTAAAAAATCAATATTAAAAAAAAAACACATGATTTTCCAACATTCGCTTAGCAATTTAGGTTTCACAGTATGTTGTCATGGGAGCTATGACCTCAGTCATTTTTCACAGTGCAGAGACTGGTATCCCTGCTTATCAATGAGGAAACTGAGGTTCAGAGACTCAGCAAACTTCCGGTCACAGTCCCGGAAGGAGAAATCAGACACCTGGACTCCTAGGTCTGGCAAACATTTCCTCCTCTAAGTTTTTCTGATCAGGTACTTTAGTCACAGTGCTGAAGAGCTAACCCAGAGGGCTACAATAAATAAGAGACTGTCTGCCAATTAAAATTCAGGGGAGGCCATGGATTGGAACTGAGCTTCTGCGCTAAGCCCAACAAATCAAATAACAGAGTTACTCACGCCACCAAGCTGAGACCAAGAGATTTATCTGATCTTTCAAGAAATCAGGAGACAGAGGTAAGAGCCAAATCTTCCAATGAGCCAGTTTTAGTACACACAATAATGTCATCCCCTCTGCTTTAAGCATTCAAAGAAAATTAACTTTGAAACAACCAATCCACTTTGGGTTCTATTTATTCTTTCTTCAACCCTTTTCTGCCTATAAAGCCAACCTCAAGCTCAGCTTGATTTTAAAACGGAAAATAAAAGCCAATTCAATCTTTAAATATATTGTAATTGTGTCTTTTGGTGGACCCCGACCTCAGGAACTCAAACGCTATGTGCAAAGGAGGAAGCATCAGCTGCCCCCCTCAGTGAGACTCAGGCTGGTATGGAGGAAGCCCAGGGAACTGTGGGAGCCCAAAAGGAACTTTGTGCCCAGACTTGGGAATCATGTGGCTTAGCCTTGCCGGTTGAAGGGTGGTTAACTGGGAGAAATGTGCAGGGGTGGGATTCTAGGCAGAATAGCATGGGCAAGGGCCTGGCAGTGAGTCTCCAAAGTAGGTTCAGT